CCTTCGCGAAGTTTATTGATTGCCCGCACGGTATCGATGGCTTTATGAAGTGTGCGCCTTGCATTGAAGTTCTTCTTGACGACAGGTAGAAGATCTTCTCCAGAGCCCATACGCATGGGGCGACATGGGGTCCATGGGATCGGTGGGTGGGTTGATCCACGGGTGTTGCAGGGCTTCGTGGGCTGTCAACCTCGCTTTGGGATCGATGGTGAGGCAGCGTTTGATAAATTCACGGGCGGTTACGGAGACGCCCCGCCAATATTCGAGGGGTGTAAATGAGTAATCGGCGTCAAGGATGGCCTGCATTTCTTCAAGGTTGGAATCTCGATCAAAGGGGGTGTAACCGCAGAGGAGGAAATATGTTATTACACCAATGGCCCAAATATCTCTGCCCAAAGAGAAGATTGAACGTCAGAATTAGCTATGTTAGACTTGGCAAATGATAAATTACTCAGGGGGATAGAACATACACAGGCTTTCCGTGGCCGGTCTTTTTAAAGATTTCTGGAGCCATGTATCCTGGCGTTCCGCAGGTGGTGGTGAGGACATGAAATTGTTCCTCATCCATGATCCTCGACAGACCAAAATCTGCAATTAATAGATCTGCATTGTCTTCTGGTGTGCGAAACAGAAGATTCTCTGGTTTTAGGTCTCGATGCACGATCCCATGGTCATGAAGATATGCGACGGCGGAGAGGGTTGCGCGGATCAAATCTGCCGCATCGGACTCATAGTAGCTTCCCTTACGGCAGATTCGATCAAACAGTTCCCCTCCAAGGGCAAGATCGGTGACAAGATACACTGTCAATAGGAAATCGAAATTCATAAGCGCGTGTGCTGGAGAGTTATTTGAACCGCAAATAGAAGGAGATAGAGAGCAACGTACAGTTGTTCATTGTCTCGAAGTAATCTACCAAAGTCAGGATGTTCCGATGACCCATTGACACCCTCTTGAGCACAGCAATTTCATTACGAACCTGACGCCGAATTTTTATCAGCCCCACGCCGTGCTTTTTGATATTTCCAAAGGTGGGATTGGTATGAGATTCACCATATGTTCCCTCCCCGCCATCAATCGCTTGTTGATAACCTTCGCAGCATAATACCGGCCAGTGTCAATATGAACGCATTCCTTCACCACAGAATACGATCCTGCTCCTAATGTTTTACCGGTTTTATATCTACAAGGCTGTATCTGTGGGCGTTGGTTACTCGGTGGTTGGGATGCCATGATGCAGGTGGGGCTGCGGGCGGCAGCGGTCAGAATCTCCAGGAAGTAAGTAATAAGGTATCGTGGAGGGTTTTATTTAGGTATATCTAGAGCATGAATTAAACACAGTTAGCATGGAATTAATAGGTTATAACTGCCATTCCCTATTTGTCCTATGGTGAAGTAGTTGTTATACTTACTCTGAGCTTGCTGAGCAAAAGGCGGGGGATAGTGATCAAATACCAGGGATAACTACAGCTTGCAGTTGTCGCAAGTCAGCTATCTTATGAACTATGGAGAGGGGGCAAAAGGTGGATATCGCACAGTTAGTTATTGCAACCTCATCACAAACCTCAATGGCCAGACAGGCGGCCTTTGCAACTGTTGTTCGGTTAAAAGTGTTTCAAGTTGCCTGCTAAATTCGTTCCTCGCTCCCACGGTGAACGCAAGCTAACTTTCCGCAACGGCAACCCGACGACGCCTTGTTGATCACGACACCTATATTTGATCAATCTTTCATCCCAGCCCTCCCAGGGGAGTAAATTATTCGATATGGCAACCACTCTCAGCAGAGAAGCTTCTAACCAGGAAGCTAGACTTTCGTTAGCTATTAAAGCCTATAAAATGAATCAAATTTCAACTCTCAGAGCTGCTGCTAAGTCATTTCGCATCCCCTACTCCTCACTATGTTATAGACTATACAGGGGCACTACGCGTTCAAATTCTCAACTTAACAATCGAATGCTGACCTCTATGAAAGAAGAATCTCTAGTTCAAAGGATATTATCCATAAATGAGAGAGGACAGCCTCTCTGATTCGTAATCGTACAATATATGGCCAATCTACTACCTTCAGCGCGAGAATCTGCTACCACAACTACTGTGGGAGGAAGATGGGTGGAAAGATTTACCAAACAGCACTCTGAACTGGAGACTGGATTCTCATGCAAGTATAACTACGAGCGAGCTTTATGCGAGGATTTTAAAGCTCTTACTGGTTTACATTTGTGGATAATACTATAAAGAAGCAGGAATTGTGCCTGAGGATATGTACAACTTTGATGAGATTGACTTTAATGAGAGTTATTACAATGTCCTGGGTGATTACTAGAGCAGAGAAAGAAGGCAAGCCATCTCTTATACAGCCAGGAAATAGAATCTGAGCAACTTTGATTGAGGCAGTCAATACTACAGGCTGGAGTCTACATCCTATGATCATACTGAAGGACAAGCTTCATCAGTTCTCACGGTACGAACAGCTGCCAGCGGATTGGGCAATTGGTCTTAGTGAGAAGGGTTGAACTACAGATGAGCTTGGCTTCATATGGCTGCAAGAGGTATTCAACAGACATAGTGAGGCTCGTACAGCTGGCAGATATAGACTGCTAATTATGGATGGACATGACAGTCATGCTACATCTGGATTTGACAAGTTCTGCCTGGATCATCGTATTATAGCTCTTTATATGCCTCTTCATTTCTCTCATCTACTGCAGCCACTAGATGTGAGCTATTTTTCACCACTAAAGAGAGTGTATGGCAAGAAGATTGAGCAGAGCATGAGATTGAGGATCAATCATATTGACAAGGATGAATTCCTAATCAGCTACACAGCAGCTAGGCAGGAGACTATGAAGAACACTTCTATAAGAAATGGATTCAAAGCCACTGGCTTGATTTCATTAAATCCAGATGAGGTTCTTCCTCAGCTACATCGGATTCCAATCCTCCTGGACCCTCAAGACCCCCTGCAATATGACCCAATTGGAACGGCAGAGCAGCAAGATTAAATGCTGTACAGATGTTCTTTCTGGTCCCACAAATAAAGCTCTCAATCAGCTAGTTAAAGGATGTCGGCTAGCCATGCATAAGGTTGCTCCTTTAACAGAGGAAGTCAAGCAGCTGAGAGCTGCCAACGCTAGACAGAAACAAAAGAGAGAGAAGCCATGTACGCATATAGCTGAGGAAGGGATCCTAACAGTTCAAGAAGGACAGGCTAGGATTGTTCAGGCTCAGAAGCCTAATCAGCCCGCTGAGGGGAGGGTTGATGTTTCAAATCTGAGAACTAAAAATCGAGCACCACCAGCTGTAGTAAATGTAGCAGTACGAAACACAAAGCTCCTAGCTGCTCACAGACCTAAGGATATATTCTATACAATTTCTATATATAATTCCTAGTGGTTGTTGCTTAATTTGAAAATTTGTCAAATAATATGGTGGGGGTTGATCAAATAGGTGTTGTGATCCAAAAGGTGATGCCCCGTACAAATCAAAGAAGCAATGGATGGATAAAATTCTGTGATATTTAATCCTATTAGCTGTTCAATTCATCCTCATTTGAACAATATTGTGAGATAGAGAGTTGCATACAAAATCTCTTTGTGTGACCTCTCCATTAGTTAGTTACCTAAACCCTTAACTGAACAACTGGACAGAAGAACCCAAGTTTCTTGCAATATTGCAAACCATGCATGCCATGCAGAATAACCAAGGAAAGGCAACAAAAAAGGCATAATTCAGAAGAAAAGAGAGGAATAGAAAGAAAACGGGAAAAGAAACAATATCTACATCCTTTCCAAAACGCCATTCGTAATAGTCATCAGCATTTTTAACCCGTAAAACTTAGAAACACTCTTGAAAAGCTTCAGCTTCTTCTCAATCGCCCTCAGATCCACCGTCTCAATCCAATTTCCGCTACAAGAACAATGTTCCATGAACTCGCTGACCCGAAGGTTATTGCATTTTGAGCATTTCAAGTCCTGTGTCTGCCATTCCACAACAAGGCCCTGTACTTGCCCGATCAACTGCTCCTCCAGGGCAAGCCTGTCATACTCAGTGCCGCAGAAAAGACAACACCAAGGTTTCGTTGCGGCGTTGTTACTTTCAGCGTCGTTCTCGGGGAGTATGTCACCGTCCCGACAAATATCCAGGTCTCTCGCCATGGTACAATGACTACATATCAACAGTGGAAACTTAAGACTTCCGCTTGGATTCTCAAATCTTCCCTCATCACTGAATTCCTTAACCTCGAAAAGGGCAAGGAGGTCCCGGCGTAGGACTCGAGTTTCAAGAGTAGTGGTTTTGCACAGACTTAGAACTTGCATGAGGGACTTGACCAACTCCAATGTTGGGTTGCGTTCGTGCTTTGTTGGGCGCCATGACGCACCCGGTAGTGTTGGGAAAACATAGTCCGAAGCGAGTTCGGGGTGCAAGAGCTCATCCCGTTGCCGCCGTATCAGTCCCGCAATTTGTCGTTTCAGGGGTTTGGAAAACGATTCGGTAAGAATTGATGTCATCTCCTCAGTATCGATGTCGGTAATCGATTGGAATGACAATTGTGTAACCCGGGGCGTGCTTGTGTTCCCGTTCTCAATGGTGGGCCTCTTCAACCCATGCATGAGCTCAATATACTCAACCACCCAGTCGAGGAAAACAGACTGCAAAGGCCTTGGGAGGAACTGGCTTAGCTGCCAATGCATGACCGTCTCAAGTTCTTGGTTCTCAGCCTCCACAACTTCATGGCAGCCTTTACCACCAAAATTGAATTCGTCATACCAAACAAGGTAATCCCAGAACTCCTTGATTTCCAAATCCAAGAAATGGAAAAGTGGCTTCTCCTTGATCGACTTAAGGATATACTGGCTGTAAGCGTAGGCGTTGCCCACTTCGCCCTTGTTAGTCTGAAGCAATAAACGACTTGGACTGGCGAAGATGATCTGAGATCCCACTCGTCGGAGATCAGTCATTAATTGCTGAAATGCCTTCTTTGACATCATTTGGACATGGTGATGCAGTGACCGGTCATAAAGGAAGGAGTCCGAGCTTTCAACCCATCGAATCAAATGCTGGACCATGATATCTGCCATGCCCTTTCCTTGGCACGCCTCCGCCCACCAAGACCTTACCAAGTCACGTAAGACAAGAATGCCAGCAGAAGCGAAAGCTGTATCAGAGTATAACACGCCTGTTCCGTCAGACGCCCCTGAACTGGGGGCAACGGGGTTCAGCAAAGTAGATTCACTACCTTCAAGTTCGTTGATGAGGGATGACGTGAGAATAGTATTAATCGCGAGGTTCCGGACTTCGACTTCAATACAGACAGAGGAGTAGGCCCCTGGATTGTTCCTTGAAGGCATGTCCACTTTATGTATCGGTCCAAGGATATCGTCCTTTTCATAACCAGCATGGTCCGGAAGTGGCGACGGAGACCACCACAGAACTATATTGTTTTGTTCCAGTCGCCTGGCATACGCGATATCGATCAAATATTTGGGATCATCCTTTTCTAAGTTACAGATTGGAACGTCCCCATATCGGGCGAGCTCGCCAAGATGATATAGCCATGAGCCCAGAGCTAAATAGTGCATGACTATTTGCTTCACAACGAAGGATTGCCAACCAAGAGGAGGGAGATCATTGTCTGATGCCTCAGCCTTTAATGGTAAAACAGGATGTTCCTTGAGTATGGGTATCTCCTGGGACAATTGGCGCCTTTGGGGTGATTGAATGACAAGCATGATTGCCTGGTTGCTCTCATTTCGGAATTTTTTGATTATATCGCCAACCTCAAGGAGCGCTTTTCTTTTCGTTGTTACCTGCGTTGTCTTAAAATGGATACTTTCTTGGTAGTCAAATATCTGCTGCCACGATTCTCCAGCTTGGTCCTGGACTTTCTTTTGGAGAGCTTCCCTGTATATCTTATCAGCGTTCGGAAACCCTTGCACTTCCCTTAATCGCGAGAATATCACAATATGGGCTTCTTCTTTCCTGCTGGAGCAGAGGTTAAAAATCTGCCGATCACCGGAAATCACGTGGTAGAGGAAGATGTACTCCATGGAGGTATCTACTAGGTACTGTTGCGTTGGTTGTTCGGCCCGCAGGAGTGTCGAAAGTTCGAAGCCGTTTTCGAGACCTTCTCCCAAAACTCCCCGTTGGCTTTCATCGAATGTACAAAGCGTACCAAGCTTTAGCACAGCTCGGACACTGAGAGGAATTTTCTTCTCATAGACCCCCTCGACACTGGGATGGTTTAGGAGGAGGGAGATCTTGTCCGCTTCTTTCAAATAGGTATCCTCGGGCATCGTCATTTTGAAGAGATGAACAGATGGGTGACCATTGGGCAATGAGTGATTAACCTTTTGCACAGAACACCCAGCCAAATCAACATCAGGAAGGTCCTCACATTTTAGATTAATGAAGATTTGCCGCGGAACTTTGATTGTAAGCGCATGTATCTTGTGGTCAATGAGTACAAACATCCGGACTTCACCCGGAATATCCGTTTCCTTGAGTTGTAATATTTGCCATGTTTTAACATAGATGAGTTCTGCCTGATTCCGGAAGAAGTTACCGATTGCATTTGACGTTGTGCTTGTCCTCTCACCGAAGAGCTTCCGCCGACGGATTCGAGCCTGTTTTTGGATTTTCCATTTTTGTTTCTGATACTTCAGCCAGTCTTCATAGTCTTCAGTCATGGATGGCATTGTCGCTGGGAGGCTTGCGAATGGGTCCAACTGGCTTGTAGTGTTATCAGGCCCTTTTCGTTTCTGTGAGCTCTTATTTACTGAATTGAGCTTTTGTTTATGCACCGATTGCGATACCATATCTTCCATATCTCCGCTAGACGGTAAGCGATGGTCCATAATATTTGTCGGGAGATCTGATAAGGGTATTTTCTCAAACAGGTCAGTCAATTTCTTTTGCTTAAACTTGTCGTCTTTAATATTGATTCGCTGCTGGAGCCAGTCTGGGTGAGGAACTCGTGGAACGGGATTTCGGACTTTTTGAAGAGCGGCCGGAATGGTGATAAGCTTCTGAATTACAGATCCCAACCTCTCAAGATAGTAGTCCCAGTCAATGAGTGTCCGGGGGTCCATATCTCCAGGATCGTCTTTTAGCCATTTCCTTAAGAAGAACCGTTTGACGTTGTATTCGGCGGAAAAGATCGCGACAGGAATTGCTCGCTCGGTAATGGGGAAGTTCCTTGGCTTAGCAGATATAATGTATTTGCAGTTCAGGCCTTTGTCTTTCACCATCTGGTCCCCCAAGAATTCTGCTAGTCGTTTTGCGGTTGTGATGGAAGTTGACTTCTGATTTCCATATTCCTCCAGAGTTTTGGACATACTTCTGTTCTCACAAATTAAGTCGATAAGTTCCTCGTCCGCCAATGTAGTTCCGTGTAAGTGTAGAACATCAAGCCATCTATTAGCAACTTCAGCTACAGCTGCGTATGTTTCAGCGAGCGTTGTGCCTTCTAGGAAGAACTTGAAGATTTGTGTTTGGAATATCTTAATCAACTTCAACTCGCCCCTTCGCTTCACCTCGAAACCCTTGAGCTCAGCAAGAGAGCCATCATGATTGAAAACAGCATATCTTTTCTTAAGATTCTTGTCTTCTTCTTTTGATGTTGGGAGGATCATAGCCCTGTAAGGACCATCTACCTCGAAAAATATGGTGTTGTCGCTATGGGTCTCGTATCTGAAGGTTTTCGGATCGACAAGTGTTTGATACTGGTGATTGGTAAATCGTGCATGGACCAGATGGTTGAGCATGACACAAGGGTATGATATCGGCAGCTTCTTCCCATTTTTCAGGGTGAAGGCGAAATTTTCGGGAAATGTTGCTGGAAGCATGCACCAAATACCATCGGTATCGAGTTCTAATGGACGGCCAATCCGTTCTACCAGTTCCCGCGCCATTTGAATGATATGAGCTCCAGTAAGACATGTCACACCAGCCATTTCCATTGAGTACCAACGTGACCCCTTTCGCATGACATATCCGTAAAAGCTGTTCAAAATAACTTTATGCGCCAGCTGGAGGGAATCAAAAAGGATGATCATTTTTTTGGCCTCGTCAACTTCCACTGACGGAGCTCCAGCAGCTTTTAGCGCATCAGCTTTGCCTTTCCAGACCTTTTGCTGGCCCTTGAAGTCATATCGCCGATCTCTAAAGTTCCGCACTGTATCAACGTAAAACGGATTCTCTCGCTGGCAGATAATGGCTTCCCGCTGTATTGTTTTGCTATCGTGGATTTTGTGATATATCTTTTTACTGTAGTCTTGCAATCGCTTTTTCACAATTGCGGCTTGCTCGGTTGTGCTCAATTCGTCAAACATCCTCATGGGGCTCTTTGGTGTCTTGCCAGGGAATTTCTCGTTGGCCACGGCACGTCGAATCATGTTGTATTCATCTCGCTTTGCGGGCAGAAATTCGCCTCTCCAAGACCAAGGAAGACGTCTATCACACGTTTTCCCTGGTCTATTAAAATCACACACCGCACAGTCAGATTCCTGGATCATAGAGTCGGGTTGAAGTCGGTTGGTAGTCATAATGTTAGGATACATAGAAGCGACATCCAAATGGTATATCGTTGGTCTCTCGTTCCTATTGGGAGTCTCCTTCAAATTGAGTAGTTTGGCTGCTATCTGATCTTTAATTTTGTCATAATTGGTAACATCCTCCAGAGACTTCTTCTCCTCCACAGTGATACTAAATTTAAGAGCAGAGTCAAGATCGCTAAGCAACTCATCAATTGCGGTAGTCTCAATGGTGAAATTGACTGGAATATCGTTCCTGAAAACGCCAGCCTCGATACTTTCCACGTGTCCACCAACATAGGTTTGAGAATCCAGGAGGTGTCCATTCCAGAACGATTCTGGTGGGTCTGTATGTTTGTTTGGCAAGATAATATTTCCCCGGTATGCCTCAACCATGAGTAACATTTCACACAATGTTCCCGTGCCCTTACGGAGAACGTCGTTGGGATTTAGAGGGATAATCGTACAAAGTGAGAAAATAAAGGGGTGGATGTATTTCATGTATAGGTAATACGTGGCCACTGCATCGGAAACTGAGTATTCTGCTAAAGTCTGAGGGCGTTCACTTGCGTATCTCGTCATGACTTCTGGATCAAGCTCGTCTGGGTCATAGCCCAGTTTGGCCACAGTGACGGCCTTCAGACCTCGACTTCCTTGAGGCAGGTAACTGTCCCGATTAACCCATGAGAAGCAATCCATATGAACGCAATAGTTGCTCTCATAAATATCGTCACTGTTTTTCCGAAAGCCAATTTCAGAATACATGTCAATTCCCTGGATGCTTGCTCTAGCTTCGACAAATGGCCAGTCGAAGAAGTCACCGTTGTAGGTCGCAATAACGGTAGGCTTTACTTCTTTAATATGAGCAAAGAAGCGCTCGATGGTACTTTTTTCATCTGGCTCATTAAAGATGGTGAATGGACCTTCGTACTCCGGTTTTGGCGTGTACTCGAAATCAGCAATATCTTCAGACACAATTTCTCGATTCGTTATGAGATACCCTTGGCCATCAATCATGTACGATATCATCATTATCTGGTCAATAACCGCGTCGGGGAACTTAAGTGGAAGCTTTGTAGTCTCAATATCATAAGCCAGAACGACTGGATCCGCTCGTTTGAGTCGGTCTTCAATACAACTTAAGGAAATAATTCCGTTCTTCGACTGAACCGTATACCATTTCCCAATACGAATATCTAACGATTCATGTAAGGTAAATTCAATGAAGCAAAAGGAGAAAGGAGAAAACCCAATATATATACCTTTATCAATAGAAACCCGCACATGATAAGGAACATCATATTCTCGAATATCAACGATAAACTCGCCGGCATCCATAAATGCATTATGGGGTCTATCATTAACTTCTTCGTCAAAAAGATCGAATCCAACATTTGCGCTACAAGCATCCAGTCAGCGAAATGGGCAAACACTCGGAGTTGGACGTGGAATATCGAACCTAGCCATCTCCGTATATGTGTCCATCGCATTCACATTCTTCTTATTTTTCTGCGCAATTGGCAATATCGATCTCCGAACCTCAAGCAAGTGGCCAACGTTGGCAAAACTTAGCTTCAGAAACATCCTTTTGTAGCCCAGGAGATGATTCGGCATCTGTAGGTCTTCCTTCTCAACCTGCTTCACACTTTTCACCAGACCTTCAAACATTCTCTTGCACCACTCTTCTACTTCCCCTTCATGCCCTCTCTTTGTCGCGATGAGGAAATACGGATCGTATTCTACTATAGCCTTGAAACTGGTGCCATTGTCCTCCAGAAAATAATACTCCACACCAGCCCGTCCTCCAGGCACCTTAGGGTCCTCTATTATAGTGCTGTGCATGTTGATAAGCCACCCGACCCTTGAATTTCCGGATTCAAATCGCGAGAAACCCATTGCCTCGTCAATGCTGTTCGCCAGCCTAACCGCCTTGAATTTCTCATCTTGTGACGTCGCTTCAGTAGATCTGAGATCAGAGGACTCAACTGTTTTCGTATGCTTGGGGTTGAACAACACTGAGTTAGATCTGAATTTAGTACCATACTTGCTGGGTTTTCGTAAAGGCATTTCTGTAATGTTCAATCGCTCGTTCTATAACTGGAAAAGTGGTAATGAAACGATCCTGTACTCCAAGAACCTAAACTCGGAGGCAGAAAACGACACATTTATAACGCCATTAAAAATGATGGAAAAAATGGACAGTCGTAATATAATAGCGAAAGAAAAGGCATTAGAATTCGTGGTATCAGTCGTGTGATTGCCAGAGAGGATGCGTTGGGCCTTCTCAGTGGCTTTGATATTGCAAGCAACTTAATCCTCGAAAAGTCGCGTTTTCGCGTAGTTTATTCTTCTTTCCAACCGCGCGCAATAGATCGGCGGTACCTGGCACCGGATAAACTATCTCCTCTGGGACTAATTAATAGGCTATGCCAAGACCGTAAGAACTAATCGCCGGGCCGAGGAACGTCCGTCACAGAACATTTGTAAGCAATTTTGCTGGAGGAACTTGCGGGCAACGATCGATCGAATGTATATGGCAGGTCGCCATGGCGGAAGACTCGCGGGATACACAGTCTCGGACAGGGGAAGCTGCCTCCAAAATCCCTCAAGAATTTGCCCCTAACAAGAAACCAAAACATGAATTTCCCAAGTCGCAGGTGGGGAAACTTTGGGAGGAGTTAGGAAACCCTAAAGAGCCAATCAATCTAATTCCCGGAGCCTACAACTCTGGAGGGAAGCCGAAAGATGTGTCATTTACAGATGCCTTCAAGTCACTATCTCTAGATGATATACTGTCATTTTATAAGGTGCCGTGTGCACGCGATTCCCTCCTCGTTGGAATTGGTGCCGGTTTCGGTGCAGGGAGTCTCAAGGCAATGTATGGTGGTAGGTGACCCATAATCCTGTTAATAGAATAAAATGGGGTTAGACATACGAGCATCCGCTGACTGGAGGTATGATGTAGGGTTCCGTGCGATTTGGCCAGCCTGCAATTGGGCTGTGGGAACGTTCGCTATCGCCTCCATAGGAATGTTCGAATTTTGCCAGCGCCGGAGAGTTCAAGAACGAAATGGGATGAAAGAGGCAGTGGAACTCATGCGGGAACTTAAGATTAAGAAACAACAGGAACGAGAGCGCGCAAAGGCAGAGGCAGAGGCGGTTGCGGCGGCGGAAGAAGCACAACGGCGGAAAAGTTGGACAAACTTGTTGAACTATAAGTTCTGGTAGTCATCATGGCGCTGGCTGGACAAGGGAGTCATGGATGCACTCCGATTGTTGCGAGATGTCGAAGTGAATGATAGCTGTTTATCTTGTTTTATATAAACCATAGCCTATGGCCCCCTCATATTGTAGAATAGAACACGTATATATGACCCTCATAACAAAGGAATAACGAATTTAAAATTCTGCTTTTTCTTCTCGTTTCCAAAGCTGCTTGCGGTTGACATTGTATTGTATACAACACTCCATGTCATCCATATCTCAAGCCTTAATCCCCCGTAGCTATGTCAAATTTGACCTTTTTGCAGCTATGAGCAGAACTCTTCGTATGCTGATCAACGGTAATCCCATCCCGTCTTGATTTCCGCCTCTCCCTCGCTTCCCTTGCCTCACGGCTTTTCCATTCTGCCACTTGTTTCTTCCTTCTTTGCGACCTCTCCCACGCGACCGCAGCCGTGGGCTTGAAACCGATTCCATTGATCCCGTACCCATCGTCATTCGGATCCGTTGGCGCATATCCTGTGATTTCCGAGTCATGCCAGGTAAGCGGATTCTCCTCCACGGTGCTGGAGAGAGGAGGGGATTTTCGGCGAGACTTGTGTTTTGAATGTGGGATAGTTTTAGGGTCGCGCTTTGAATCCAAAGCTGGGCTTGTAGAGGTCGAGCCTCTTCCTACGAATGCACGGGTCTTGGTCCCTCCGTCGTTATTAATAATCGAGGCTACAAGACTTGACGACTCTAGATTTATTTCGCCTGGTGCAAATGGGCCCTCATCCACCCTATCTGCCACCTTCTTGTCCTGTGTTAAATCTTGGGTTGTGTCTTCAAGACCATGACTACAAGTCGAATATAAGTCAAGCTCGTGCAGCTCCGCAGCTACAGAGATCGGGGGACTGTTCCCGATGTCGGGGCTATGGTCATCAGCAAGGTGGCCATCCCTCACACTGAAGGGGGTTGTTGTTTGAGACGAAGAAGGAAACGTCGAAACATTTATTCGTTGGTAGTCTGTCTCATCGCATTTGCGCTTGGGTGACTTGTGGAGAGTCAGCTTTCCGGTCATTATTGTGGTAGGGCATTGGGTACGATGAAGCAGTATCATTGAACTTCGCGGTCAACAAGTAGTGCGGTTCACAGGGAGTAAATGCATGGTGAACAACCACTAGATTAAAAGAGGTTATATATATAATCAGCCATTGCAGTTGAAGGTTAGAAAATTTGGAGATGATGCGATGAGGGGGTTAGAAGCGACGTCTGTCAGTTGTGATAAAGACCAAAATATACGGAAGACTAACAAATCGCGTTTAGCTATAACCCTCATATAGCATCACTATCGTCCTCATATTTTTATACGAACACAACTCATAAAAAGGGAAATTATTTGAGACAAAAACTAGCCACCAAAAATCAAGAAATCGATTGAGTACAATAGAGGAAATCAAAGAGAAAAAAAATAGAACATATCGAACATATCGAACATCCCTTCAACGCCCCCCGAATATATGACTCCCAGACCAAAATGGAATACAATGATCACGCTTTCGACTTCTTGGAGGATCCCGCTTCACTATCCCGCTTTCTCTTCTTCTTTGGAGTCTCCTCCTCTGCCGCAGCATCAGATTTTCTAGACTTCTTATCCTTTTTGTCTTTCTTGTCCTTCTTCACTTTCTTCTCCTCCTTCTCTTTCTTTTCCTTCTTCTCCTTTTTGCTCTTCTTTTCCTTCTTTTCCACCGCTTCACCCGCATCTTGCATCTCCACGTCACTATCCACTCCATCAACCTCAATGTCTGCCAAGACAGAGTCCATCGCATTTTTCTGCAAAATATTAGCATACGCAAAGGTTAACATCAGAAACGTACATACCATTGCAACCTCATTCTTCGTTGGCGCAGCTCCAGTAGCGTAAAATTCAAGCCGTTCCTCAACTTGCTGCTTCAGCGCATTACCAAACTTGGTGGACGGAGTTTCAGAGAAATTATCAATTCTGGATGCGATTGAACACTTGTTGGCTAAGAATCGGGAGATTCTGCCCTTGTTCTTGGGTCCGGCCCGTCCGATGAAAGATGAATGGTAAAGCAATCCATACTTGGGTGTGTTTCCTTTGGTCTTTAAAGCTCTGAAAAGAGCCTTTTCCGCACCAAGAATCTGGACAGTGGAGGCAGGGTATTTGGAGAGATTGGTCAAGCTTCCCGCATGCGAAATCAACCGCGCACCAACGATTTCGCCAATTAGTGCGGCCAAATTGGGCGCCACTACGCTCATCTTCGAGACCAAGTAAGCGTGGAGGTTTTTGCGGTAAGTCGATAAGCTCACAACGCGCTCCGCGAAAGCAACCACATTCTCCATGTCGGCGGGGGAGATATCTTGACCCATACTGTGCTTGGCCGCATCAATAATGCTCCTGGCGATACCCTCATCATCGTCAACAATCGCCGCCAGATCATGCAGTTTATCCTCCGTCAGATCCTTCCTGCTCTTAACAAACAGCAAAACGCGGGCGTAGCGCTGGTTGTCAGACACAATTCTGATAAGTTCGGGGAAATGCCATGAGTACCACTCTCTAGCTCTCATCGAAAAGGTGTTGATTGCCTTATCTAGTTGGTCGAGGATAGCGATGGCCTGAATGATGTGGTTGTCATCGCGCTGCACTGAGAACTTGACCTTGGCCCGTGAGTACGCATGACCAAGACCTAGCTGGGCAGTATTGAGATCGCCTTCACGAAGTTGTTTAAGAAGTTTGCCTGCATGCGTTCGAATGCCTCGTAGCATATCCTGAACAACGTCACTTGTGTCTCCAGTTTCGCAGTCCACGAACGGGAATGCCGCCTTGATGCTTCCAGCGAGCGCTTTATCCGAGACACCCAACACGACCTTTTTCTTCTTGTTGGGCTTTGGCAAGTTCAGATCCAAAAATGAGACAAGGGTCTCCGAGGCAACTCCTTCAGAAATGTCATTGATTTCTCCAAGAGCCTGCTTGTTGTTTCTTTAGATAAGTGTAAGCGCGAGTTTACAAAAGTGACCCAAAGATCCTCCAAAAAGCACTAGAAGGCATACTCAAAAGGCAGGAAACTTGTCAATTCAACCATCTTTCCGAATTTTGAAAGGTCCTTCAAATTCTCCTGTACTTCCTTCAATTTGTTCCCGACTGTATCGGCTTGATGAACAACCTTAAAAAGCGAGTAGCCCATTGGGCCCTCGAAAAGGACGTAATCGGCCATCGAAACGGAGTAATCGCAAACGTAGTTAGCAAATGAAGTTAACTCCTACCCATTAAACAATATAGATGTGAAAAGCGATAGAGGCCGATGGGGCCCAATGCGATGAATGTTGCGGATGGTGTTGGTTCTGGAAGGTGATAATTTTTTGGGTACAGCTCAATTATTTTTTTTTGTCGGTGGTCGCACTAGCGCGGAACTTCAATGTGGGTTTTCCTAAAAGCTGGACTGGCCAAACCGGCATTTTGCTGGTAGAATACCCCCTTATCTAACAACACCAACATCAAAGCACCATCAACATTACCGCATTGCTGTTAGTTCTTGTTGTTTTCAAAAAATACCACTTCACATATATCCCCTTCTTTAGGCACTATGTCTGCGGCACAGCTGCTAAATCCAAAGGCGGAATCACGAGTAAGACACCCGTGAACTTCCATGTCCCCCACAATGAGATATAGCTGGCTGACTCATTTTAGCGGAGAGGGGAAGCTCTAAGAGTCAATATCAGCGCCGGTGAGGGTCTCCAAGATGTGCTCAAATCGAACCTGGGTCCATCAGGGACTATAAAAATGTATGTTGTGTTTCCTGAGCTCTGTTGATATCCTACTAACAGGCGGATATAGGCTGGTTGATGGCGCGGGTGCGGTACGTATACTTGGGGTTTGTTCTCCCAGTGTTCGTACATAGCTCATAAATTGGTGGAATAGATCAAACTTACGAAGGATGGGAATGTACTTCTTCGAGAGATGGTTAGTATCCGCACCCCTTGTTTGTGCATCGTTTGACTAACTGACGAAATACAGCAAATTCAAAATCCCACAGCCGTAAGACATAAAAACTCCACAGGCCATCTCTTCTATTACTTATACGGCTTTTTTGATAGGTTATGATTGCGCGTGCGGCTACGGCACAAGACGATATTACGGGAGATGGAACAACATCAGTGGTTCTTCTAGTTGGCGAGTTGCTTAAACAGGCGGACCGACATTTATCTGAAGGACTACACCCTCGAGTGTTGACTGATGGGTACGAAATCGCTAAAAATGAGGCGCTCAAGGTATGATCCTTTCTTATGCGCAAACATTCCTACGAATACTGACATCTACGGTAGTTTCTTGACTCCTTCAAACTTCATAGAGACATCGATAGAGAAATTCTTCTCTCAGTTGCACGAACTTCGCTTTCCACGAAATTGAACAGTGCTCTGGCTGAGAAGTTAACCCCTGATATTGTCGATGCGGTTCTTGCCATTCACAGACCTCCCAACAAACCTGATCTTCATATGGGTTGAAATCATGAAAATGCAACATCGAACCGCCTCTGATACTCAGCTTATTCGCGGTCTAGCCTTAGATCATGGGGCACGTCATCCGGATATGCCGAAACGTGTCGAAAATGCCTATATTTTAACATTAAACGTCAGTCTGGAATATGAAAAGTCTGAGATCAACTCTGGTTTCTACTACTCCAGTGCTGAGCAGAGAGATAAGTTGGTTGAAAGTGAACGGAAATTTGTGGATGCGAAGCTGCGCAAGATTGTCCAGCTGAAGAAGCAAGTTTGCGGTGATGATCCAAAGAAAGGATTCGTCGTTATCAACCAGAAAGGTATCGATCCTTTGAGTTTGGATGTACTTGTCAAGAACGGAATACTTGCATTACGCAGGGCAAAGCGTCGAAATATGGAACGCCTGCAGTTGGTATGTGGCGGCACTGCACAGAACAGTGTCGACGATCTTAAGCCAGAAGATCTGGGATGGGCAGGTTTAGTGTACGAACAGCAACTTGGCGAAGAAAAGTTCACATTTATCGAGGAGGTTAAGGACCCAAAATCCGTTACTATTCTTATTAAAGGACCCAACCAACACACCATTACGCAGATTACTGAAGCCGTTCGTGACGGCCTTCGTTCAGTATATAACACAATCGTTGATGGTTGTGTTGTCCCAGGAGCCGCCGCGTTCCAAGTCGCATGCGCTTCTCATCTATCTTCCGAAACGTTCAAGAAAACAGTCAAAGGCAAAGCCAAGTATGGCGTTGATGCCTTCGCCAACGCCCTTCTCATTATCCCCAAAACCCTGGCGGCAAACTCTGGTCACGACATTCAAGACTCTCTAGCTGCGTTGCAGGACGAGCAAAGCGAAGGGCATATCGTTGGACTTAACCTGACGACGGGGCAGCCCATGGATCCAGTCCAGGAAGGTGTATTTGATTCATTCAGAGTCCTAAGGAACTGTGTTGCCTCTAGTGCTGGCATTGCGTCAAACTTACTGCTCTGTGACGAACTCCTCAAAGCAAGACAAATGGGAAGGCAAGGCGGCCCGGCTGGAATGGATGAGTGATATGTGAAAAAGGACCGGAAATAGGTATATGATATAAACCTTACTTGAATAGATAATCACAGATTGCCGACTTTGGACTTATTTGAACCGGGAGAGTAATGCAATAAACGAAAAGGTGTGTTTTTCCATACTTAAGTAGCACATTGGACTTCTTCGAATTGAGTGATCAATTCTACGTGACAATTACCTTCTGTGTCAACAGAGCTCAAAACAGTAAAATTTACGGGACATTTTAATGACGGGATTTTAAACAAAGAATTATTATGCACACGGGTATCAAAATTGGGTATCTTCCGTAACTAATCCTGACCAACGAACCTTTCATAAACGCCGTCTATCCCTGCCATGCTTATTATACTTGTGAAATATTATAAAGCGTTAATCCCCTTCATCCGCCTCCTGAACTTCCTCTTCAGGAGCCCATTCGCCCAGGAACCCTTCTTCTACAACGGGGTCCCTAAGATTAACCCTATGAGTCTTAGCCCACTCCAAAACACTCTGTTTCCTCACCACGGCAGCTTCAACATCACATTCCACCACTCCAGACGATGACGACAGGGCCCTTTTGCGCTTTTTGGCCGGTTTGTCCGGCTCCGCGATCCCCATATCTTTCAAGGCAGTAATGACATCTTCAACCAGCATCCCGATCGACTGACCAATTTCCTGAACTGTCATTTCCTCCCTGACAGGTCTCTTCTTTGCTGCCTTTGCGCCAGCTGTCGACCTCGACGAGGATGGGGTCCTCCAGCCGTAAGGGTCAGCTCCAGGGGGTCCAAGAAGGAAGAATCTTGCAATTCTCTCCTCCCAGAACCTTAAGTAGCTCCTTCTTCCCATCTCACTAAGCGGCCGTTCTGGACCGCCAATGACACCCCCTTCCCACTCCCAGGCACTCAACTTGTAACTGATCCCCATGAGCATTTTGCCCAATTGTTTATGTTGGTATGGCGGGAAGATAAGAATACAGGCGAGGTTATTGGAATCCCAAGACATTTTCTCCTTTGAAAAATACCCGAGGACATAATAATCGTTTTGATCTCGCGGATTGGTGAAGACAAGAATATAATAGAGGAAAGACGTGACATCGAAGAAGACGGATTTATGGTCCAGGAAGAGTTTTGCAAACAGTGATAGGTTCTGCGTGTAGAGTTTCCAGTCTTCCCCGTCTATTTCCCACACCGAATAACCCCGCCAATCGTAAACCTTTGTGCCTGGCGGGGTGGATCTGTGCTCGCAAACGCGGACGTGACCTAGATACGTCTCTTCATTGCAAGAGTAGCGGAAGCACCATCGACAGACATACAATCTGTCTGTGTCCTTGCCAACCAGCTCCTCTGGATAGAGTGAGTGGAACCAGGTCTTGAAAAGGATATTGCCCAGCACCACACTTTTGACGTTGCGGTCGGGGCCTGGTTTCGGAGAGTGGGCAGAAGAGGGATGATCATTCGAAGGCATGATGACATGGGCCTTTTGTCTATTTTTTCGTAACGATAATGCGATTGGGACGGAAATCCCAAGAGGGAGTGAAATAATATTTTGTTGATTATAAAATGAGTGCAATCAATGGGGTGCAGACCCGGAGAACTTAACCTAGGTAAGTTCGTTCCCAGCGTTTCGGTCTTTTTTTTTATTTTTGCCATCCTTGTGATGTTGATGCGGCGTTCGACGATTAAAGACGCTAAATCTTGGCTGTCACGTGTATCCTAGGCAGCCGGTGAGATATCATGTGATGTACTGATGAGGAATAGCGCGGTGTGGGGGGTGTGAAAGTTCGCGCAGCCTGGTTCAAGTAATTAGTGCCTTTTACGAAACCTTCCAAAACGTCGACGGTGGATGGCGTACACGTACAACAACCTGCACCACTCAGTTCGACAACTTAACTGTGCTGCCTGGAGGTTGATGGCTTCCTTATCAAAATAGCTGCTCTGTCATATTCTTCCCAGGAAGACTACGTTTTCAACAGGCTGCAATTTTCTTTTGGGTAAACCCATACTTAAACCCCCTCTTCCTGTCTGGCCTCTTAACTTTTGCTCTTTGCTGTGCGTGCTGTACAGGTGGTGGTGTCTGGCTTTTGTGTTAGTTAGCAAACAGAGAGATAACGATCTTGAACTATCCCATCCATCCTATTTACTTTACTTTTCTTCGCTTTGTTTTGCCTTTGTTAGCTTTGTTCTGTGTGTGTTGCTCTGATATAAACGGCCCATGATGCTGAAACCCTTCCGCATCAGGGATCTGCTGGATCAGCCGGTGGAAAATGAGCAAAGCAGCCCCAATTCAACAAATAGTCCTCCCACCAATGACGAACCTGCGATGTCTTATGAGCGGACTGATGGATGGTCAATTCCCGTACCACATATTGGCCCTATCATGGTTGGTGATACGGTTCGGCCATATTCGAACCACGGTATTTCTTCACTCCCATCTGATGAGATTAATGGTGGAGTAAAGTCAGAGGTTGATAACGATGGCGGACCCAGCGAAGCAAGAAGCAAGAAATCAGCTAATGATTCAGTTTCTTCAATGCCAAACAAACATAGTCATGGTATTGTTCGGGTTTCAGCTGAAGAATATGATGAAACAATTGCAGCTCATCCGCAGGCAAAGTTGTCTTATATGGATGAAGATGACGGGGACATAATTACTGTAAGCCAATCTGAACCGTTCTTTCTCTTCTATTACCTTTGAATATTATATTTGCTCTTTACTCATCATTTTTTTGTAATAGGTCGGTTCATCTCTCGAACTTACGCAGCGACTGAGTGAGCCTGCTGCTCCGGATGTTCCCCACCGGGGTTTTGTTTCTTCCAATTCTTGGGAAGCTGAACCAATGCATATATTTGATGTTAATCGGTCGAAATCAATTTTGGATATATGGAGAAGTTTCGAGAGAAGGACCTCAATGGGAAGTCGTCCGTTGGAGACTTCAGCCACAGGCGTAACCACCACCGAAGAGAACACCAAATCTAAACCCGTTTTTGAGAAAGGCAATGATGATCACAGAGAGCGTTGGTTCCAACTATGCAATCCTCCTCAAGTTCACACGTCCATAAGGGATCTGGGTGAAAAAGCATCGAGTGAGCATGGCAGCTCGGTGTTTGCAACCCAGCCATCTGAACTGGGTGCATCAGGAAACGTTGAACCACTGCAAACGATGTCGTCTACCAACAAAACCGAAGAGGGTAAACAACAGGTATTCTAAGCTCCTATCCATTTAATAGATATGTTAATCAATCTAACATAACCGCTAGGCACAGAAAGCTGGCTCCAGGCTCAGTCGTGTGAGAAACGTAACGATTGATGCCCACCCATCCATCCCAGCCATACCTCTAACAGCAGAAAACCCCTGGGCATCCTTTACATCTTATCCATCAGGCTTCGGGGCGCATGGTCTGACCCAAAGAGAGCCTGAAAGTCGGGAATCTCCCATCGAAAATAGCCAGCCTCTTCTAGCTTCCTTTGAGGCTGAATTAGCAAAGATTATGGAGAATAAACGAGTTGAGGATTCGTCAAACACAGAAATACTGGAACAGAAAACCTTGGAGAACGATCCTCAACACCGCCAACAGTCATCCAATTCAGAGCAGGAACCAGAAATTTCATCTCAACACATCCCAAAGCCTGCCGAAATGTTGTCCCAAACCATGCACGCGTTGCTTGGAGGTGTTCGCCATCTAACATCGGATTTGAGGTCTAAACTTCCCGAAATTGAACGCCGATTATCCAACGCGCATCAGCATATTCCCTCAACCGTACAGACAACTATTTTTAGCACCATCAGTGCTATTGGCACCCATATACATAGTCTTGCAAATGCAATGCAAGACACGGTTGCTTCGTCCAGAGTTACTGCTGATCGGTCGATGGAGGCTGATGTTTTGGCAGCTGAGCAAATTGCGAATGGCCTGCTCTCTCTTGCAAGCGATATTGGAGAGATGGGGAGAACCCTGTTTGCTACCTTTGAAACAATGTCCAGAGGCCTAGGATCATCTCAGGCACAACCCATCGGGGAACCTCCTAACCACGGAGATGTCCCCGATCAATCCCACCCTGAAGAACCTGTATCCCAATACACTACCTCTCAAAATGTCTCAGTCAACATAGAGTCGTTACCAGGGATTCCGAATTCTCATGAGGCATCCCTAGAGAGCCAAAATAAAACTACTGCTCTAAGGGAGAAACAGCTTGAGAACAGTCAGATCAATACCCTCTTTGTTGGAAATGTCTCTTCTGCAGCTGCTGAAAAGGATATACAAGATGCTTTTGCAAACAAAGGCTTCTTAGGTAAGGTCAATCTGCCGAAAGATTCCGCAACTGGAACACATGCTGGCTTTGGCTATGTCGAGTTCCCTTGTTCCTTTGCCGCATCTGCCGCCCTCCATGCTCTTAACGGGGATCTTATATTTGACCAGGCTATCAATCTTGAGTTCAGTCACGTATCTATGGTTGACACCACTATTAACAGCCCTGAACGACTATCCGTCGGTATTGGACGCACTTCTGCTATTGTCCCGGCCGAAGGAAATAACTCCCAGAGAAGCCTAGTCAACGGACGCATCCCATTAACTGGCTCTGGCGATGCTAGAGGCCCACTCCGCGATTCCTCAGATATTCGGCGTACCAGATCACTTGGAGTCCTTCGTCGATCCCAGGTGCACGATCCTCTGCGCCACGGAATCAGCGGCATGGCTAATATCAAGGAAATGTCAGAAGATCTGGATCAATCAAATGACGAAGCCGATGGTTTGCATAATCGATCTTCTTGGGAACCAGAACGAAGACGACCCAATTCTTTGTATTCTTCCGCTTCTGTTGCCAATCTCCTGACTGATCAAGATGATGTGGAACCGGAATTTTCAGCTCGTTATCCATCTCTGATATCTGATGCACATACGCGTGAGAGACGATCCCACCTTCTCCCTCATCAAACGCAAGGTCTTCCTCGAAATCTCAGCCCAGCGTCACAAATGGCACGGTTTCCCAGCATTTCACAACTAGAAGCACGTACCTCCAAAGCACAATCCCAACAAGTAGATCAGATGGCAGCTAGAAATCCTCCAGCGCCTGTGGATGTTAGGCCATTTCCTGCAAACCGATTTCCCGAGGTTCCTACCAACAATAGACGGAAGACTACATATCCAGCAACCCCTCCAATTTCAGGCACCAGGCTTCCCGGTTCGTGGCCGCCCGAGTATCATAGCGCACAACCTGTAGGGCTTCACACCTCGTCACTGGCGGCAACCGGTGAACTCTTCCGGTCAAATACGACCATTGCGTCCAATCCCGCGGCAAGGCTTTCGGGACCATTCGTTCCATTCAGCGAGCCCCACCGGCGACGTGAACGTTCCGGCCTTCGACGCAGTGCTTCTGAACGCCAACATCGTCGCCCACTAGGAGATTACTTCGACAGACATCGCAGCAGATTCGAAGAACGGCCTGCCATTTACAGCCAATCCATTCTCCCAGGAATCCCAGCGGAAAGCCTGTCCAGTCTTCCAGGCAGTTTCCCCACTGAAGGTCCTCCGGTTATTCCTCCAAAGCCGATCCATCAGCATGCGAATAACCAGCCAGAAATGCAGGAGCAAAGACCGAGGAATGATGGCCCAGCTAGTTATCAAATTGAGCGGTGTATCCGACATCTTGCGCTCCTTGGTTATGGTCGTAACCAAAATCACCCTTCACATAATTTGAAGATATATGCAGAAGCCACAGGCGGTGTGCTAGATGATGCAATTGAAATGATTGAGGAGGAACAGAAAGCATTCGAACAACGGGATGTATCTCAATGATCGAGACTGAAATCACGCCCGAACTTTCTCTGTTGTATTTTTTCAAATTGGTATTGATGTTTTTAAGGGCGAGTCGATTCGTAGGGATTTCTGTATCCACTTTTGGTTCAACTAGCAATTTTAGCTCTCCGTTCCATATATTCCATATTACCTATCCCCAGTTCAGATTCACCTGTTCCCATCTTCTCGCTAAAATGTAACGTATTCCACCACCTAGTCGATCGGTTTTTCTGACGCATACACGCCCAGAGATATCCACACCAAACACCAAGATGTTCTCAAACTTTCAATTAGGAAGAAAGTTTCTTTAGCTATTTCAAGCATTAGAGAAAGGTCAAACCTCAAGCATTAAGAAAGCTGTGAGCTTGTATGACATTCTCTTCATCACCTTTATAGAATTTATTGATTGTACAACATAAGAGAATTCTATACTTGAGAATTAAAACAATCCGAAGGCTTCGCCTTTCGTAACAATCCCGATCTCAAGGAAGTTCTTGATTGCGTTGAGCATTCCTCTCAAAAAACTGCGCAGCGTGAGTTACAGCGGCGTATGAAGTAATGGGTGATCTAACTGACTTAAGTAGCATCGTTGGTACGAAGAAACATCGTGTGCAAAAGGTCATCTCGTTGGTCTGGTGTCTTTAGCTCTCCGTTCATCATTGACATTCTGCTTGTACTCCAAATAAAGGGTCCATGTCCTTGGTCAAATGAGCTTATCTCAATGTGGAATATACGATAGGCGCAATATGATGTCATTCAAAGGTTGCTGACCAGGATTATCCTAACCATATGCTTAGAAGAGAAATGAAGCGGCTTGTCATCATTATCACTGCCATTTCTACAACTCTCCCCACGCGACTCGCGAAAATGATGAAGCAATCCTGGTGAGCCATCAGCCTGGGGCCACAATGAAACCCCACCTTCATACACGCCCTGATGTGCTGACGACAAAAAGCCCTGCTTTGCCTAATTTTTAAACAATAGAGCTTCGTTGAACAAAGTTACTTGCTTGAAGGCTTGCAGGCCCACCTGTTATCTTTTCTTAAGCAGCCAATGTTGCACAGAAAATACAATCTCCTCCCTGTTTGTAAGATTGTTCAATGGGACATCAGAGACTTATATAAACTTGCTGAACGATCATTATTGTTCATATCCTGACGGAAGGAAACATATTTCAAATCAGATAGGAATATCTTCTAGCATAAAGAATTCTTCTCTGGATTTGGCAGTGGTGGCACCTTCGACGACGTCGTTATCAGACCGGCACTCGGCATCTTCTCCGACTACATGTCGGACATAGAAACTTGGGTCGGTCATCACTATAATCAAACGGGGGATGCTAGTGAAGGAGCAAGCTCGGAAGTCAACATTAGTTACTGCCCCCAAAGAACCTATTGACGATATCACCCCTGCTCTTGAAGCACTCGATTCACCCAGAAACCCTGAGTTTGGTTTCGCTGGTATTCACCCCAACGAAGTTTTCCCCATTGGTATTCAGAAACCGGATAGCTACGATGTCCCGGCGGATATCCTGAAGGAATCAGCCAATTTTTAGCTTCAATATCTGCCGCCCGCGTCCCTTGGACTATTTCGCGCCTTTCGCAGAAGTGACTTTTGGAAATGGTCCAAAGAGATCCACAATTTCATGACGGTGGAACTGAACATTATAAGGATAATGCGCACAGCAGGGAACACTTCCAGAACAACAGCCCCTAAATTCCACATATCGGTAGATGGGCCCCGCCCCGATCACCATATCTGGTGGCCGGCGAGAACACAGTGGGATGAGTGCAGCAAATAAATAAGACATATTCTCCTTTTGCAAGCAGCCAGGCCGCAGCAAACTCGTTTTGAATGGTCTGAGAAAGAAATGTGAGTTCCCAAAGGACTTTTGTGATGTATGCAACAGCGATTTGCTTTCCAGCAGCAGTAGTTTCTGCTGTTCGGAATGTTGAGTCATCATTCTGGCACCCGTCATTGGAAATCTCCAACGAGCATATATATATAATCGGGGGAAAGTGGATTCCTTATTCTCTTCTCTCTCTGCACGTGTGGCGCACCTTATGATAGCATAAGCAGGGATTCGATGGGCAGCGAGATATTCTTAGGGGATACTTGCTTTCGCCTTCTCTGGAATCTGCAACGCGAGGTTGTCTACCAGGTCTTGCGCACTATAATGATACCGCAGGCTAGTTGTATCGATCTCAAGTAGTTTACCGTTTCCACACTCGAAGCGCGAGTGCCTATCCAGTAACCAGTTATGCGAATGCGCTTCGTCAGAAAAGAGTAAAATGAAAATGCTTCTGTAGTCATTAAATATCTCAATTCAAGTGGCGTTCAACAACATTGCTGAAATTGACAACCCCATCTTCGTCATAAAATGTAATGTTATCTTGTGCTTTGAGGCCCTTTCGAGAGCTATAGCATGTCCATGGATTTATCATACTGGACACGGTAGTCGGATTGAGATTGTGGACACCCATCTCTATTTATTTCCAATAAATTAGCATCTTCCTGATATACAATGTAATCTCATCACCCTTACCTGTGAGGTTTAAAATAGCGAACTGATTTACGCGGGGGAAGTACAAAGAACTATAAGGGCTTCCGGTTTAGGTATTTAGGGTGTTGATGCTGGATGATCCTTTTTTGGTGACTTTTATTGGGAAGGATTTGGGCGAGTGGGGCGGACAGCATCCGAGTTCCGGCAAAGGGTAAATTACTTCTCGGATGGCGATGAAAAGCAACCTTTGCCTCCCTATCAAACCCACCGAAGTACTCTATGCTTCCGTCGATACTTCTGCACGCCTCCCTCAAACGCTTCATCCATTGGAGGCCACACATCCCGGCCAACGTTTCCGAGAATCAGAATCCAGGGCTGTTACAGCTCTGCGGCGACGTTTAGACGGAACGAGGCCTGGGCATCAAAGTCCATGCGGAGATAAAAACTCCTCTTCTACTGTGAAAGCCGTCCACGTCCTGAAATCAAGATTCCGACTACACCAGAGTTTTCATATCTCTGCCAATCGTGTATCCATGAGCTCCTGCTACTTTGCAAGGCACTCCTGTCTTAAGTCCACTGTGATTCTCAGACGTGCCCTCGTTCCGGCGTTGCTTGAACGACGATAAAAAGTTTATTTCCTGACCGCAGATTTCGTTGAACAGTAGTTAACAGCGTTCCCTGTCAAGCCTGACACCAGTAATTAATGCCTCTCTTCCCCCCTCTTAGTCGTGCCAGTCCCATCCTCATAAAAATGACAGACCTCCCTACCATTCGCACCTGAGATCTCCGCACTAATAGGCCATTCCTTATCTTCCTGATTGAAGTGAGATTTTTGTGGACGGGGTTGTCGTCCCGATATCTAATTTCAAGTTAGCTGGATACGATAGCATTCCTGAGTTATCCATTGCTTGATATCAACACTCTTCAATTTACCAAGTCTCTGCAACATATCTGTCAGCGAACCAGGCCACAAACACAGTGATGATCTAGTTGTCACCAGCTAGAATATCATCATTCCATGAGCACTAGATACAACATCCTGACGTACAGTCTCAGCCCCTCCTCCTGGTTTCGTGATATGTTCCTCTGCGGCTTGCCATTTTTCTGGTAGTTTGGACTTGTCAAAAGACTGACCAGCTAAGAGGAGTTTGAACGGAGGTACTAAAGAGTCGGGACAATCTGTATTTATACCAAACGGGCAGAGCTATGATCGTGTTTGGGGCAAGGAGCGAGTCGTTGGAATTCAATCGAGACGAGAAGATACTGAGAAGAAGTCAATTACCTGGTTCATCGCTTCATAGCCGAGCGAAATGAAGCTCTGTATCTACCTGCGATTACGTCTTAATTTGAGCTACTCCATTTTTCTATTCTAGGAAACCTGAATCAGCTGTCCGCCCCTGTCCGCCCCATCCGTCCTTCTTCCTGCTTCAAATATCACTGATTTATTGAAACCACCCATTTAAGCGCTGAGCCCCCAAGGGTAGGGCGACTCGTGCTTTAATTAGCGGGATGACTCGCCATATGCATAAATAGAATGTCTCATCACCCAAGACCCAGCAGTTGATGATAGGAACTCGTAGACAAAATCGCTCCGATCCTCCTATCATCACAGCCTCACAGGTTGGGCGCTTACTTCAGGCTGGACATCTCCATCTTTAGGCATGTATATGGAGAACCCTTCAGCAAACCGTCGAAAATTTGGTGACTCGTGTCGAAACCGAGATCTAGGTTGAAATCCCGGCCACTGCCAGGATCTGATTCCCCACGCGAGGGAATCATTGGTAAGAGCGCGCTTAGTATAGTTATACAGCTTACTAAGGAGTCGGTGCTAGGCTGAAAAAGAGAATCGTGGAAGAACAAAATGCCCCAGGTATTCTCTCATTTTATTACAACTACGCACCACATTTAACTGAAAGAAATCATAACTTGTTTAAATTCTCAACAACAAAAGATAAAAGTTGATTTTTACAGAAGAAGATTTTCTAGATAATATTCATAGATGAAAGAGGACAAGTCTCTCTGAATTGTGATTGTATGAGAAATGATCATTCTACTACTTGCAGAATGAGAATTTAGCACTTCTACCATTGTAGAAGAAAATTAAGTCAATAGATTTATTAAAAAAGATTCTCATGCAAGTCCAACTATAAGTGAGCTTTATGCAAGAATTCAAAGCTCTAATACAAGAGATTTAATGTGATAAATAATACTTTAAATTCATGATGAGGAAGGGGGACGGTTGAGTGGAGGATTACATTAATGTGATTCCCAAGCTGACCAACTGCCCTCGGTCTTTCACTCTGATCCTCCGCTGGCCTCAACATGGCTTTTCTCCTGGAATGGGCGAAAACCACCTTCGAAGAGTTCCCTCCCCTCCCATGTGCTTTCCGACCAGTGGCGTTGAAACTGCCAACGCGTCTGTGCTTGACGAGGAACGATTCGATTGGTTCAAGAAAGGATGTTATTATCCTGTCGATATCGGTGACATCTTTAGTTCCAAATACCAGATCATTGGCAAGCTGGGATTTGGGGTTACCTCTACAGTATGGCTCGCTTGTGATCTTGAGTTAAGTCGGCTCCGCGTCTATGTTCACTTGCGACAAGCTAACACAACCAAGGGTCATCAAAATGTGACATTTTATAAAGTATGTACGCGTGATGAAGAAGCTAATCAGGAAGAGTTTCAGATTTATAAGTATCTGAATCAAGGCAATCCATCACATCCTGGCTATGTCCATGTGAGAAAGGCCCTAGATATATTCACCATTCCTCGTCCCGGAGGTAGCCATCATTGTCTTGTACAGAAACCCATGTGGGAGAGTTTCAGGGATCTACTCTATCGCAATCCTAATCATCGATTTACTGAAGACCTACTCAAGGTTGGATTTATGCAGGTTTTTCCTGCACATGACCACCTGCATACCGAATGCAGGCTTGTCCATACGGGTAAGGATGAGTCCGTTTTCTCAAAAAACGCGATCGCTAACCGCAGCCTGATTAAATATCAAGTGTGATAACATTCTTTAAGAATTAGAGGATACAGCGATTCTTGAAAGCTTTCTTAAAGCTGAAATGGAGAACCGTTTCACCGCGAAAATTTATCAGTGGTATATACCAGTGTCTGCTTCCCGACGGTTCGAATTGCCAAAGGCATTTGGCCGGGTAATGCTGAGTGATTTTGGTTCAGCCGTACGAGGAGATGAGAAGAGAAATCACGATGTACAGCCAAATGTCTACAGATCACCAGAGGTGATGTTGAAAACTGAATGGAGTTACCCAATAGATATATGAAATGTTTGCGTCATGGTTTGTTTTTGCTCTTTTATGTTCTCCATCATGTTCCTATGAGATTACTAACCAGGGAGAAAATCAGTTCTGGGATTATTTCTGAAGGCAAGCACATATTCCATGGCACTGATCCTGATGGGAAAGGGTATTCCACCCGTACACATCTTGCTAAAGTAATTGGAATTCTTGAGTCGCCTTCCTTAGATATGCTCAAACGCGAAAAACGGAGCTCTGAATTTTATACAGAAGATATGTATCATCTCTCTCTCCTGAAAGCACCTAGCAAACGTAAGATGCTTATATAAAATTTTCATAGGACAATGAAAGGATGACATGGAGATACCACAACAAGCGAGTTTAGAAGTGTTGAAAGAGTTTCTGGAAGAAAGAAATGCATAAATGTTTTTAAGTTTTATGAGAGAAATGCTTCAATGGTAATCAAAAAATAAAAAGACAGTATATAAATTGCTCAATGATTTAAGACTAAAAATTAGATAAAACTAGCTCTCTGGTAAATATTTAATATATCTGTCAATAAAATTTTCTTTTCTTTTTTTAACATCTAATGTTATTTATCTGTCATCATATTCAGTAATTTATAAAGTTGATTTTATATAATTTAAAATAACTTTTTACTTCTTTTAATATAAAATATATATTTTTATGATATTAAAAATATTTTATAGTTTTTAAATTTTTTAAGTTAATTAAATTTTTAAAGTAATAAAATTAAATAATATTTTAAATATTATTTATAAAGTTAAAATTATTATATAAGAAAAGAAAGAAAATTTTTATATAAAATAAAAGTTATAAATATATATAACTTTAAATATAATAAAAAAAGTTCATGCTAGAACTAAATAAAAAAAATAAAAATCTTAATAAAAAGTATATAAAATGAGAAATATAATTTTTTATAAGTTAATTTAATTTAATAACTTAATTTTAAATTAATTATTAAATATAATATTATTTTTAAAAAATATAAAAAATTAATACTATAATTATAAAATAAAAATATAAAAAATAATGTATAAAAATATGATAAAAAATATATCTTTTCAAAAATAATTAATTTTATTATTAATTTTATTATTATTAGTTAATAATATTATTATTAATCAAGTTTAATATTTAGTTATACTTAATTGTAAATTATAATAAATATGTGCTATTTAGTATTAAGAAAGTTTATAAAAATTATACTTTTTATAAAATCTTCTTAATAATTTTTAATAATATTTTGACAGAAGTGAATTAAATAATATTTCTCATTTTTAATATTTAAACTGTTTGAGATAATTATGTTAAAAAAAAATTTATAACTATATATAAATCTTTATTTTCTTTTATAACTACTAGTATTTAAGCATTATTTATTAAAAGTAAACTATTTATTTTAATTAACTTTATTTTTTAAAGATTTTTTATAATTATTATTTTTATATATATTTTTATTATTTATTTTTAATTTTTTAAATATATTTATTTTAAATTAATAATAAAATTATATCATCTATTTAAAAAAATAATAATTAAATAATTTAATAAATAATTATAAAAATAAATAATATTATATTATAGTAAATCTGATATTATAAAATATATAAAAAATAATTTTTAATAAAATATATAAATTAATTAATTATTAAAATTTATTTATTAAATTAAATTAATAATATAAAAGATATTTTATTATATTTTAATAATATTTATAAATAAAAAATTAAAATTTTTTTATTTAATAAACTTCATAAATAAAATAATATTTTTAATAATATTTTAAATAAATAATATTATTTATAATAATAATATTATTTATTTTTTATTTATAAATTTTAATAATATAATTGATAAAAATTAATATATTAATTAATTAAAAAAATATTTAAATTAAATAATTAATTAATAAATAATTT